AGTGGAGCAACGGGCTAGCGGGCGACTGGAGCGATGGGCTCATGGGCGACTGGCAGAACGGTCTCACGGGCAACTGGAGCTGCTCGCTTCACGGCGGCCACCCCCCCTTCAACCTCCCCCATTGTCCCAAAACTCTCGTTCACACCCCCCCTGCTGAACCCTAGCTCCACACCCACGACACCCCCCTAGCGCCACGGCCGCGGCTCCCACACATCCACCCCCCTCAGCGGCAGCTGCAGTAGTGGGAGATGGAGGAGGAGGAGGAGCAAGTGACGACACACACACCCGCCACCCCCATACCCACCACCCGCAGATGTTCGAGGGCAAGAGGCGGCAGAGGCGGTTCGCGGGCTGCAGGGGCGGTTCGCGGGCTGCAAGGGCGGTTCGCGAGCTGCAGGAGGGGCAGCGCACGGGCCCCCCAAGGGCGCCACGGCGGGTGACGGGAGAGGGGCCGCGCGCGGGCCCCGAGGGCGCCTCGACGGGCGATGGGAGGGGCTGCGCGCGGGCCCCCAGGGCGCCTTGATGGGCGACGGGAGGGGGCGATGCGCGGGCCCCCAGGGCGCCGCGACGAGGCGATGGAAGGGGGACACGCGCGGGCCCCCAAGGCGCCGCGACGAGGCGACGGGAGGGGGCGGCGCGGGGGCCCCCAAAGTGCCGCGACGAGGCGGCGGGAGAGGACGGCGCGCGGGCCTCCAGGGCGCCGCGACGAGGCGACGGGAGGGGGCGACGCGCGGGCCCCCAAGGCGCCGCGACGAGGCGACGGGAGGGGCGGCGCGCGGGCCCCCAAAGTGCCGCGACGAGGCGACGGGAGAGGATGGCGTGCGGGCCTCCGGGGGCGCTTCGACGGGGCAGGTAACCGCCGCGCGCCTCGGGGCGCACGGCGGGCAGAAAACCGCCACGCGCCCCGAACGCCCGGCAGGCAGAAAACCGCCATGCGCCAGGAGCGCGTGGCAGGAAGAAAAAACGTTGTGCGCCACGGGGCGCGCGACAGACAGGACAGCAGTGGAAGCTAACGGTGGGCCCACAGGCTAGGAGCGTGACTGCTCTGATAGCATGTCAGAATCGTAGCCGAAAGTTAGAACAGGAAAGGGGATTTGCACTAGCAGCAGTTGAGATGCACATAGGAAACCCTAATTGGGTTGTACTCGCTATAGCGTACCCCACTCCATGCTAGACAAACTACACATTCTGACACCGTCCACTCCGAGTTCCTAGGGTCGTTCGTCGTAGTTTACCTTGATGACTTCCTCATCTTCTCGAAAACAAAGAGGAGCATGTGCTGCACTTGCAGAAGGTCTTCGAGGCCTTACGGAGGGAGCAGCTGTACGCAAAGCAGTCGAAGTGCGAGTTCTTCCTTCCAAAGGTCGAATTTCTAACCCACATCATTTCCGCTAGTGGCATTAGGACCGACCCGAAGAAGATCGCAACCGTACAGTATTGGGTGGCACCGACCTCGGTCAAGGAGATGCAGAGCTTCCTAGGATTTGCTAATGACTATTTTCGTTCCGTTCAGGGTTACGCTTCCATCGCTAGTCCACTCATTGACCTACCTCGAAAGGGCGTGGATTACGCTTGGGGTCCAGTGCAGCAGTAGACGCTCGGGTAGATGAAGCAGTCGCTCACGTCTTCACCGACGTTGTCGTACTTGGATCCTTCTCACCCATACGCTGTAGTGACCGATGGTTCGGATTAGTCCATAGGAGCAGTACTTCTTCAGGATCAAGCCATACGTTGCAGCCGATCGCATACGAGTCGCATAAGCTGAGGGGAGCAGAGTTGAGTTATTTGCTTCACGATAAGGAGGCACTCGCGATCATCCATGCGTATAAGGTGTGGAGGTGCTACCTATAGGGGGCAGATGGTGTTATGCACACGGACCATTGCTTGCTTCACTCTCTCAAGTTGCAACTGCAGCTGAGTCGTCGCCAGGCTTGATGGGTGGAGTTCATAGAGGGGAGTTTCCACTACAGGATACCGTACAAGCCAAGCGTGCGCAACCCAGCAGATCCGCTCACTCGCCCTAGTTGCCAGCTCGCTAGCCTCACAGTCACTGCCGGCCATCAACTTCACACATCAATCTTTGAGTATGGATACACAGTAGATCCCGAATTCACACCGCAGCCGCCTGCAAGAGCAGAGGTGCAGAGTAGTATCTACATTCGGAAGGGGACAGTACGGATTTGGGCTCCCGCCTACCGCCCTCCTCGACGGCTTCTTCTTTCCGAGGCGCACGATATAGTTAGTGCAGGTCACTTCGAAGCAGATAAGACAGCTAAGACGCTTAGTTGCACGTACTTCTGGCCAAGGCTTGCAGCAGACGTAGAGGATTACATTCACTCGTGTGACACGTGTCAGCGTACGAAGTCCTCTCGACAGCGCAAGTCATGACTTTTGCAGCCGATTCCACCGCTCGACCTACCTTGGCAGGTAGTAACAATGGATTTCATCATGGCTTTACCTCGCACAGTTAGGGGTCACGACGCCATTTTTGTGGTAGTGGATAAGTTTTCTCAAGCTGCTTCCCATGCACGGCAAGGTTACAGCAGAGGAAGGCGCGACGCTGTTCGTTGATAACATAGTCCGACTGCACGGGGTTCCAGACTCCATCATTTTCGACCGCGGCCTTAGATTCACCTCGGAGTTGTGGAAGCAGCTTTTTGCAGTGTTTGGGACTCGCTTAGCCATGTCGTTTGAATACCATCCAGAGACAGACAGACGGACTGAGCTCGGGAACCAGACCTTGGAGTAGATCCTTCGTAGCATCACGATGCACGACGCAACCGCATGGGACAAGAAGCTGAGCAGGGCCGAGTTCGCATACAACAACACACACCACTCGTCCACAGGCATGTCACCGTTCTTGGCACTGTATGGTCAGCACCCTAATGTCTCCATTCAAGTCGATCTCACACCCACATTCATTCATGATCACGTGAGGAAGCACCTTAAGCTCGCAAATGTACGCATGACATGCATCACCAACCGCAGTCGTCGTGAGGTGTTGTTTGCAGTCGGCGACTGTGCTCTTTTGGATTGCCGCAACCTTCGACTGCCATAGGACAGCAAGCTTCGTCCACGTTCTATTGGTCCATTCGTCATAGAGCGCGCACTTGGTCCAGTCATATACCACCTCCGCCTTCCAGCTCATTTCCGTATGCACCCGTCATTCCACGTGTCTCTTCTTCGTCCTTACACCAATCCCAACGCCACATTATCGGGCAGTGATCGCACTCCACTACCGGTAGCTATTGATCCCGACGAGTCCGATTACCAGATCCAGCGCATCCTCAGGTACCGTCGTCGTCTTCAGGGAGGTGTCTCTTTCATCGACTTCTTGGTTCGTTGGCATGGTTACGACGCAGCAGACGACAGTTGGCTTCCTTCGTCCTCACTGTCTCCTGACAATGCTTGCCTCCAAGCGTACCTTCAGTTTGCAGGTGCCGCGGACGTCGCCTTCTTGGGAGGGGGTAGTGTTCAAAGGTTATTTACCCTAAACATTCCCCCAACACAATCCCAACCTTATTTCCATCCAATCCCTTCGGGTTTTCCTTTATTTCCTTGTGTCACGTGGCACTCTAGTCTTCTTGCTTAACAATCATTTGTCCCATAAACTACTTTCCAACTATTGGTCTTGCATGCTACTTAAACCTTGCTTTTACTTGCCATATCAACCAATTCTCATTCAATTATTGCTCAGTAACTTCTTCGCCTATTTGCCAACTCTTCTTTCGCCAAAGCCTTCCGCCGCGCTTTATCCTCAATTTAGTCAACCCCGCTGTTCCTTCGCGGATTTAGGTTAAGGGGCCTAACATGAACTATTGTGTAGTCATTTTAATTCCTTACACTTGCACCATCACTTGACGGAGCAAGTTAGCGCCTGGCAGGTACAGTCGATGCTCAGCCTATCACAAAACATTTGCTCCTCACAATTAGAAATTTAGTCACTCGCGAACGTTTTGCCCGTGAGTGACTAAATTGACCATTGTGCCGATTTCAGGGTACAGTCACCAAGCTGAGGAAGAAAAACATCTACAGTTCATAAACAACAACGGCTGCCCGTCATCAGAGAAGTTAACCTGGTTACGAAATTAAAACCCTTGACTCGATTCACGTTGCAATTTCATATTAGTCACATTTTTGTCAGTGGCGACAAAGGCGAACATGGCGAAATGTCTCGAGCATTTTCACGCACATGCCGCCCGCCTATCTGGTGTTCTTGAAATGGGCACCGATTGTAACAAGTTGCGGGTCTCAACCGTCGATCGATTGAGATCGACGATTTCCCGCGTCGTGTTACTGTACCGTCGAGAAAGTCGACGATTTGCTGCATATTGGAAGTCAGTGCGAATTTGAGACACTGTCGCTTTCGCCAAAGCAACGCGCTTTGTCGGGCCCGCGTGTTCGCCCCATGAACGCGGGTCTGCGGGTATAAAATCGAGCTTGATACGGAAGTGTAATTGGGTTTGCGAAAGCAGCTCAGTGGTCCTATCTTCCCGTGTAGGTCGTTAGGTGTCAGCCAATGCTGTGCGACGGTCCTCCTCCTATCTGTCCGTACTTCGTCCAGAGTAACCTTTCGCGCCTTCGGGAAGTGTGGTTTGGTTGCATCCATCCTCAAGCGTGCTATCCAGCAGTCGCCTTTACAGTAGTAGAAATGAAGAGAGCAACAAAGTCCTCCCAACCCAATTTTGAGCAGCGCACCACCCATAACTCTCCGTACCCAACCGCATGGCCCTCGTGATGGTCGGCATTGCTGCATGATTGAACTTGATTGGGCAAAACCGTAATATATCTCTTGAGTGACGTCCGCCACGGTCGCCACGTTCGAGCACGTGACAGACAAATTGTACAGTCAGAGAGCTAAGAAAGCGGCGGTTTAGGTTAGGTCACCGTCCCTCGCCACCACCAACTGGTAAAGCTTGTGCGCGAGCAACAGTGTTCTGCCGTGAGACCCGTCGCCACTGCTAGGAGCATCGCCAGCTCAGGCTGAAGCGTCAGACCCAATGCCAGTCACCATCGGTCACGGTACGATAATGCCCCTCCTGCACGCCCGCTTTTCCCGCTGTTAACTTCCTCGCCCGCCGTTCCAGGATGTCGTTTCGCCTCTTCTCATATGCTCTTCTAGACCATCGCGCCAACCTTTGCACGAGCTCTCTACCTGCTTCCAATGCCTGCTTTCCCATGTTGTAGTGATACACATTGACACGAGCCCTACCTCCATACCTGTTCCCATGCCTGCTTGACGTGCCTCCATCCGACTTGTTACCCCTACTTCATTTCCCTCCCCTCTCCTTCTCCTGTCGTCTCACCTTACCGCCTTTCGCGCCAATCATGGACAACTTCAAACCAAACCTCTTCACGTTTTTTTTTCCTGTCCATCCGTGCTCCCCGTCCCTGCTCCCTATCCTGTTCCGCAGCCCTGCCATCCGGCAACCCCGCAACCCCGCAACTCGCAGCGGCGCTGGAGGCCAACGAAGAGTTACCGCCGGCGGGTCTCTCCACCAATCCCAGCCCGTCCAGCGAGAGCGGAAGCGCCCGCTCCTTCAAGCCCGTCCGCACGAAGGAGCCGCGCAAGTCTTCCTCCTCCGGCGCCTCCTCGTCGTCGCGCGCGTCGCGCGCCTCGCAGCCAGGCAGCCTCCGCGTGCCCAAGTCGCCTCGCTCAAACACCTCCTCCTCCTCCCCCGACCAGCCTACTACTACTAACGCCGTAGACCAATCCAGTACCCGCGAACAGTCCGCGCGTGCTAGCGGCTCGCAAAGCGGCGGCTCCCGCCGGTCGCGCCATAAGGCGAACTCTTCCGCGGACTCGCTGTCAAGCGCTTCCGCCGTCACCACGGCGTCGGACGATGGCGCGGGCGACGCGGCAGAATTAGCAGCAGCACCCGCGGAACCGCCTTCCACCGCCGCCACGTCCGCGCCTTCCGCCTCCACGCGCAAAAGCGCGGCTGCGAGAAAGGAGCGGGCGGCGCCGCCGGAGGGGGACGAGGAGGGTGGGAACGAGGGAGAGGGGGAGGAAGCGGGCGCTGGAGAGCGGGAGGGGGAAGGGGAAGAGGAGGAGGAGGAGGACGAGGCGCCGGCTTTGCAGCGCGTGCAACGATCCACCACGGCTCCGCATTACGAGCGCGTTAAAGGCGCCGCGGGCGCGGACGAGCCGCGGCCGATGCGCGTGAGCACGAGCTACGACGCGCGGGGCAAGCGAGGGCTGTTACTTTCGCCGAACACACATCGCGTGGTTTCGTTCGCCAGCGACTTGAAGCTTCCTGAAGGGTTCGAGGGCGAGGATGCGGAAGCGTTTAGCCGCAACAGCACTGGCGGGTTGATGGGGTATCAGCAGGTTGGGGGTTTGCCGCGCCCGTTATCGGCACCTTCGTTAATGGCGCAACTGAACTCGATGCTGACGCCGTCAAGGTCTGTGGGGAGTTTCACGGAGAGCGTTGGCGTCAGCGGAATCGCGGTGTACGTGGGGCCCAAGGTGCGTCGGAGTGCATGCATTTTGATGTCAATTCATGATAAAGAACACTGTCGAAGGGATTGCGCGAAGTAAGGATAAGAATTAATTACGGAAAGTGTAACACGAAGCGATTAGGGTTCAGTTGTACACTCGTAGTCTTCCTAAGATAATGGCGTGGTGGCATTGCGCAATGTCTTGCTCCCTGTTGCCCCTTTCCTCCTTCGTTCGTGCTGTTGTCACTCCGCTCGAATCGCTCCCTTCTCCTTTCCCTTCTCTCCCCTCACTCCTCTCTTTTCCCTCCCCTCCTTTTCCTTCCCTTTTTCTGTCTCGTCTTCCTTCTTCTCCTACTCTCCCCGATCATCTCCAGTCAGTCTTATCTCCCATAATGCCAGCCATGCCACGCCATTCTTTTCCTCCCTGCCACCTCCCCGTGCCACCTCTTCATGCCACCTCCCCGTGCCACCTCTTCATGCCACCTCCCCGTGCCACCTCCCCATGCCAGCTCCCCCCACCTCTGGCAACCCTCACTCACACCTCCTTCCCCAGCTTCCCTCCCTTCCCCCACTCGGTCGAACGACCTAATGATTCTCTTTCATCATCTTATGCCTTTCCCCTCTTCGTGCCCCTTCACCCCTCATTCCTATTCCCGCTCATGTCTCTCCTCTTCATGTCCCCCTCTTCATGTCTTCCCCCTCGTTCCATCCCCTCCAATGCCTCTAAATTTTCATGCCTCCTCCGTAGTGTCCCCCCCTCATGCTCCCCCCCTCATGCCCTCCCCCTCATGACTTTCCCTTTCATACCTCCCCCCTCGTGTCTCCCCCAGTACTACTTCCCCCCTCTCATGTCTTTCCCCACTCATACCTCCCCCAGTGCGACCTCCCCTCCCCCTCATGTCATGCCTCCCCCGGTGCGACCTCCCCTCCCCCTCATGCCTCCCCCGGTGCTTCCTTCCTCCCCCCCCATGCAACTGCTCCGCGCGACCAAGGCGTTGCTCATGGAAATTCTCTTCTTGCTCTCGTGCTACCCCCAGTCATACCTCCCCCGGTCATACCTCCACCCGCCCATACCTCCCCCGTTGCTGCTTCCCCGCTCATGCCTGCCCCCTTCTTCCGCCCAGATGCAACTGGAAGACCGACCAATGCGCTGCTCATGAAGATCCCCTTCTTCCCCCTCATGCCCTCCCCACTCATGTCTTTCCCCCCTCATACCTTCCCCACTTGAGTCTCCCACTGCTTCCCCTCTCTCACGACTTTTCCCCCCTCATTCCTGCTCTACCTACCCCATATGCAACTGTTCCGAGTGACCAGGTCGCTGCTCATGAAGATCCCCTTCTTCCCCCTCATACCTCCCCATCGTGTCTTCCCTCCTCCCCCAGGTTTTCTTCCCCCCCCGCACCCCCCTCAGATGCAACTGCTCCGCGTGACCAGGGCGCTGCTCATGAAGATCCCCTTCTTCCCCCCTCATACCTCCCCATCATATCCTCCCCGCTCATGCCTCCCCCGGTTCTACCTCCCTCAGATGCAACTGTTTCGCGTGACCAGGGCGCTGCTCATGAAGATCCCCTTCTTCCGCAAGCAGCTGGAGACCACAGCGCCAGATGGCAAGCTGCAGGTGACGTGGCATCTGATGGCGTGGCACGGAATGACGTGATGTGATGTGTCGTTGTGTTGCGTGGCGTGATGTGGTGGCGCATTTGGTGGCAAGGCCTGGAGTGTTGTGGTGTGGTGTGGTGTGTGTGTGTGTGTGTGTGTGTGTGTGTGTGTGTGTGTGTGTGTGTGTGTGTGTGTGTGTGTGTGTGTGTGGTGTGGTGTGGTGTGGTGTGGTGTGGTGTGGTATGGTGTGGTGTGGTGTGGCGCGGTGTGGTAGGGAGATTTTTAACTATCTTACTAGCCAACCCTGCAATGGCCCTGTGGCTTGTGCTGTGACTGACAGCAGGCATCAGAGGACGAGGAGCTGTCGTTCATGCTGGACTGCTCTTGAGCTTCACTGGATGGACTGCTTTTGAGACGTGTGGTGTCACAATTCCCCTGTGCCCTGTGCCCTGTGCCCTGTGCCCTGTGCCCTGTGCCCTGTGCCCTGTGCCCTGTGCCCTGTGCCCTGTGCCGTCTGCCCTCTCCGTGCATGTGTGCAGACACCAGAGCACGCATCAGAGGACGAGGAGCTGTCGTTCATGCTGGACTGCGATGAAGCCACCTTCTCCCGCGTCCTCACCGTCGTGCAGTACCACAGGTATGGCGCTGTGCTCACTGTCGTGCAGTACCACAGGTACGGCGCTGTGCTCACTGTCGTGCAGTACCACAGGTACGGCGCTGTGCTCACTGTCGTGCAGTACCACAGGTACAGCGCTGTGCTCACCGTCGTGCAGTACCACAGGTACGGCGCTGTGCTCACTGTCGTGCAGTACCACAGGTACGGCGCTGTGCTCACTGTCGTGCAGTACCACAGGTACGGCGCTGTGCTCACCGTCGTGCAGTACCACAGGTACGGCGCTTTGGTGTAGGTGGCAGTACCGCAGGCATGGCATGGCAGAGTGCCACAGGTATGGCAGCGTGCCACAGGTACGGCAACTGTAGCAGGTACGGCACCCTACCACAAGTTTGGCAGTACCACTGGTATGGCAGTGGTGCAGGTACGGCACTGTGGTGCAGGTACGGCACTGTGGTGCAGGTACGGCAGCAGAACTACAACACCACAAGTACGGCACTGCTGCACGTACGGTGTTGCTGCAGGTACGGCAACATCCAGTAATATGGTTAACGTGTGCTCTCCTCGTTTCCCCCTCCCCGCCCCACCCAACCCCCAAACACCCTGCACTTCACTCGCCATCAGCCCTCGCTCCTTCTCCCCTCCACCAGTTTAGAGGCACCACCACCTCCCTTGGAAGGGCAGGTGCCCTAATGCGCTTGTTCACACCACCCCATCTCCCCCTCCTCCTCCCCCACTGTGCCTGTTCCTCTCAACCCCTCCATACCCCCCCCCCACTCCCCCACTCTCCCCTCTACCAGTCTAAAAGCCCTGAAGTGGATGAATGATGTTTTTTTTTTTTTCCACCTGCGTTCACAACTCAACTGCTTCGTACAACCCCTTTTTACCCCCCTCCTCCCCTCCACACCCCCCTTCCTCTCCCCACCTTCCTCTTCCGCCCTCCCCTCCCCCTCCCCCGACCCCTTCCTCCCCACTCTGAAGGCCCTCCCATGGATGAACAACAAGGACTTCTTGCGCAAGCGCTCCGAGCTCCACTGCTGCCCCTTACCCCGCCCTCCCCGCCCTCCCCCTTCCTCCTCCAACCAGCCTGGAGGCTCTCCCCTGAATGAACGATGAGGAGTTCTTCCGCCTGCATTTGGAGCTCCACTGCTCCTCCTTGCCTCACTGTCTTTCTTCCCTCCTCACCCCCACTCAATCTCCTCCTCATCAATCCAGTCAGAAGTCCCTCCCATGGATTTCTTCCGCCTGCGCTCTGAGCTCAACTCCCTTCTCCCCCCATTTCCACATCCCCACTCCTCCTCCCCACACCCTTCCGCTCTTTAGCTTCCCAACCCCACCCTCCCCAACCCAATCCAGCCTCGAAGCCCTCCCATGGATGAACGATGAGGATTTCTTCCGCCTGCGCTCGGAGCTTGACTTTCTCGGCATCACTCTGCCGCCCGGCTCGCCCTGGCACCACCTCCCCTGGAAGGACGAGCGCAAGGCCGCCACCGCCGCCTCTGCCGCTGCTGCTGCCGCCTCTGCTTCTGCCTCTGCACAGCCTAAGGCATTTCCCCTCTCTCACCCTCTCAACCCCCTCCCCCCTCCACCCAATTAGTCTGGAGGCCTTGCCATGGATGAATGACGAAGACTTTTACCGCCTGCGCTCGGAGCTCGACTTCCTCGGCATCACTCTGCCGCCCGGCTCGCCCTGGCACCACCTCCCCTGGAAGGACGAGCGCAAGGCCGCCGCCGCCTCCGCCGCTGCTGCCGCCGCCGCCGCCGCTTCTGGCATTCTCAACCCCGCTGCTGCGGCTCTCGCCGCTGGGTACACGTCTAGTTCGGATACGGACGAGATTAGGGAGGTGCGCGGTGGGGCGGCAACGGCGGGGGGAATGGCTGGAGGGCTGGCGGGAATGATGGGGGCGATGGTGGGCGGGGGGATGGGAGTTGGGGGAGGAGTGGGAGGCATGGGAGGAGCGGGAGCAGGAGCGGGAATGGGAGGGGGAGCTGGAGTGGGGGGGAAGGGGTTTGGGACGGGAAGGGCGTCGCTGATCAGTGCGCGATCCATGGTGCGGCGCAGTGTGGTGGTGGGGGGTGCGGGGCATGAGACGCCTCCGGGAGTGGGAGGGGCGGCAGGAGGAGGCGCAGGAGCAGGCGGGGCGAAATCGCTGGTGGAGGAAGACAGGCTGGACGTGGTGTACCGGTGAGTGGGCGGGAAGGGGTTGGCGGTTTGGGGTTTGGGACGGGAAGGGCGTGGCTGATCAGTGCGCGGCCCATGGTGCGGCAGAGTGTGGTGGTGGGGGTAGGCGAGGCATCGCAGGGGGCAGGAGGCGGGATGGGAGCGGGAGGGGCGGGAGGAGGAGGAGCGAAATCGCTCGTGGAAGAGGATAGGCTGGACGTGGTGTACCGGTGAGTGGGTGCAGTGGTAACCGGGTAACCAGCTGGACCACTGGTGTAACGGAGTAAACAGCTGCATGTAGTGTATCTGCAGTGAGCAGGTGAGCTGGTAACAGGGTAACTGGCTGCACGTGGATGTAACTGTGGGTGTGGAATCTTCAAGCAACTCTGTGACGTCCACCCTGGTAATGCAGTAACAGTGTAACTGGTGAGTGGGATGGGAGATATGAGCGAGTGAGGGGGTTCGACGAGTTGCATTTACGAAAGTAGGAGGGACGGCATGGAGAGCAGGGCGGGGCGGCAATCATGCGATGCTGTGTGTGTTCAGAGTGGGAAAAGACTTGCACCCTCGTCTTTCCCGAATCCCGGTCCCTGTTTCCGCTCACCGTCTCCCTTTCTCGGTCACTTTCTGCCCACCACACCACAGGCACGGCAGCGACACAGCAGCGGCGTGCACGTGCTTTGGCACCAAGGAGGCGGATGGCCACTCGCACTGGGTGGTGTCTCTCTTCCACGGCCACGTCTTCTGCGCGTGAGTTGCAAGGAGACTTTTGTTACGCATGCGTTGCAAGGAGACTTTTGTTACGCGTGAGTTGCAAGGAGACTTATGTTTTGCATCTGCGCATGGGCCACCCCCCTCCTCCTCCTCTCACGGCCACTCACACTGGGTGGTGTCTCTTTTCCACTGCCATGTTTTCTGCGCGTGAGTCGTGCTGCCCCTTCCTGTGCGTGAGTTGCTGATAAAGTGTCCTCCCATCACGGCCACTCGCACTGGGTGGTGTCTCTCTTCCACGGGCGCGTGAGCTCCCTCCCCTTCCTCCCTTGCGCGTGCGAGTGCACGTGACGGTGAGTCACAGTCCTTGCGTTGCGTGTGCGTAAATTGCTAATTAAGTGGCTTCCTCTCACGGCCACTCGCACTGGGTGCCCACGTCTTCTGTGCGTGAGCCTCCCGCCTCCTTCCTCTTGTGTGTGCGTGAGTCGCATTCCTTCACGTGTGCGGTAAGTCACTGCTTGCATGTCCTCCCCTCACCTCCACTCGCACTGGGTACTCTTGCTCGTTCACGGCCATGCCTTCTGCGCGTGAACCTCCTTCCTCTTCCTCCGATTGCTCTACCTCTTCCTCTTGTGCATACCTCATCCTCTACCTCTTCCTCTTGTGCATACCTCATCCTCTACCTCTTCCTCTTGTGCATACCTCATCCTCTACCTCTTCCTCTTGTGCATACCTCATCCTCTACCTCTTCCTCTTGTGCATACCTCATCCTCTACCTCTTCCTCTTGTGCATACCTCATCCTCTACCTCTTCCTCTTGTGCATACCTCATCCTCTACCTCTTCCTCTTGTGCATACCTCATCCTCTACCTCTTCCTCTTGTGCATACCTCATCCTCTACCTCTTCCTCTTGTGCATACCTCATCCTCTACCTCACCGACCGCTTTGAGCTCTCTCTTCCCCTCCCAAGCCATCACTTCTCCCACCCCCCCTCCACCCCACCACCACCCCACCGCCCATCAGCTTTTGTGATCGTGCCCCCGCGTGGCATCCGAAGCTCTTTGCCGACGACGCCTTCCTGCTCGCCGCCCTCCCCAAACCCATTACTTCAACCCCTTCCGTCACCCAATTACCCCCATCACCCAATTACCCCCATCACCCAATTACCCCCATCACCCAATTACCCCCATCACCCAATTACCCCCATCACCCAATTACCCCCATCACCCAATTACCCCCATCACCCCGTCACCCCCATCACCCCTCCGCCCATCAGCTTCTGTGGCCGTGCCCCCGCGTGGCATCCAAAGCTCTTTGCCGAAGTCTTCCTGCTCGCCGCCCTCCCTCCCGCTCCTACCCAGGTCAGTCAATCCCCTTCTCTCCCACCTCATCCCACCCAGGCCATTCATTTCCCTTCCCTCCACCCCTGCATGCCCTGGTCAGTTCTCCCCTCCCCCACCTATGACTACAAAGTGCCTCCCTTCGCCCTTGTGTCGCCCAGGTCACTCATGCTCTCTTGCCCCCCCTTCCCCCCACTCCTTGTGCGGTGCCAGCATTGGTCTAACAGCCATACTGCCTTGTCCTGTCCAAAGTCCTTCCCCTGAACCCTTTTCTCTCTCATTCATTCCACCACTCACAACACACACAACACCACCCACCACCCACCAGCGCGAAGCAAGTGCGTTTGTGGGAGGTGGTACTACCACGGCCGCTCCAGCACGTGCCTTTTGAGTCGACTCAAGAGTCACCTCCAGCACATGCCTTTTGAGTCGACTCAAGAGTCACCTCCAGCACGTGCCTTTTGAATCGACTCAAGAGTCACCTCCAGCACGTGCCTGGTGAAGCTGCACTGCATGGCCAACCAGCCTGATCCTCTAAATTTTTTCCCTTCCTTATCTCCTGTTCACCACCCACCACCACACCAGCGGGGGGCGAACGCATTTGTGGGGGGGGTGGTACTACCACGGCCGCTCCTCTAAACTCTTCTGCTTCTTTTTCTCTTCTTCACCGCCCACCACCCATCTCCCACCACCCACCACCCACCACCCATTGCCCACCACCACACCAGAGGGGAGCGAATGCGTTCGTGGGAGGGTGGTACTACCACGGCCGCTCCAGCACTCGCCTCGTGAAGCTGCACTGCGTGGCCGGCGCCAGCTGCACCGCCTGCAGGTGAAAATCACAGATTTCAGGTAAAATCACCAGAGCTCAGGTACCAGAGCTAAGGAGAAAACAACAGAGGCCATGTGAATGCCACAGAGCCAAGTGAGAGAGGAGGAGAGACAAAAAGGAGAGAAGCTGGTAGTAGCGGTGGTCACCTCACATCACAGCTTCCAGGTCATGGTATGCTTGAGTTGCTTTTGAAATCCTTTGAAAGTGAATGGTTCATCGTTTGCCTCACGTGAGGTCTATGCACGCATGTGTATTCAGGTTTCATGTGAGACTGTGTCCCGGTCCCCCCTCCCCCCACGAGAGCGTCCAGGTTTTCCAGATTTTGGGTTCTGGGGTTCACAGGCTTACCAAGTTTTGAGTACGAACATGCTTGCAAGCATCCCTCATATCACTGCATGCAGTTTTCACGCTCTATGCACGCAAACTGGTCCATTTCTTATTTCTTCTCTTCTTTTTTATTCTGTTTTCTGTGGGCCCACAGAGCTAGCATCTGGGGAGTAAGCATCGAGCACAAGCATGCCTTCTGTCTACAGTGCAAAGCTACACCCACCAAGCCAGCTATCATAGCGAAACTCTTTGTGGAAGCCTTGTGTCAGCCCAAGTAGAATAAAGTACAGCCACCTCGTGAAATGTTTGTGCACAATAGTTATCAATAGTTAGTGCACAATTGTTTTGAATTGCTTCTAAACACTGTTGGGAACAAATAGCCTTAAGCGCTTATGTCATGTCGAAACTTCAAAGACACAAGCGAAGCAGCGCAAATCGAAGCACCAGCGAGTCAACCCTCGGAGTTGATGTAACCGCTGGAGGTTACGAGAAAGTCAAAGGTCAGCGACCTTTGACTTGACAAATGCAGCGCGACAGCAAGGACACACAACTGACTCGACATTGAGCAGTTGCCCGAGTCGCACTGTATCGAACCGCAACAGTAAAGTAGTTACAATTATGTCTCTTCATATTCTCTGTACTCATACCGTATATATATTCTTGTATCCCTTTGTTTTAATCAACTCACTTTGCCCTCACATACTAGCGCAAGGTGGTTCAAGGACTTCATTCAAACGCTTCCGCTATTACATCATTTTACTCAGACTTTAACTCTACAAAGATCCTAGGGCGTCTCAGCCCAACATGGTATGAGAGCGAGTTAGAGTTAAAAGTTACTCTTTTTCTTCAACACTTAATACATCAAGAAGACATGTCTGCTAGAAAGGAGAGGAGCTCCTCCAACGGCTCTCCCGGTACTACCCCTACTCCACCTCCTGCCTCTGGCCTACAGACAGAGGAAGGGACAACAACGAGACCAGCAGCTGGGTCTACTGAAACACCCGCAAACCAAGGCGCGGGCTTCGATCCAAGCATGATGGAGAAATTCTTCTCCTTCATGTCCTTCTACGAGCAGCATCAGCAAGGAGTACCTGCGCAATCAAACAACAGCAACAACAACAACAACGTGACGCCCATGAGTCTCGATGGCTCATCCTACGCACGCGGAAAACAACAACAACCTACCTTCGCTCCGTACGAGCCCCATCGCGGCTCTGTCAGCTTCATGCCACAACCACAACCTGCACCGGGACAAGAAAGAGCGCTGGACGCACTACAAGTTCAGTCGCAGTTCGCGCATGTTCTAAAACTACAAACGACAAAACCTTTCGACGGGAAGGATTTCTTTACCTGGTCGTTTGAATTCGAGCTGATGATGGAAGGAGCGCAGATCCTTTGTGAGGATCTGGGATCGAGCTCAGAAAAGATGATTCAAATTGAATTGAATGTCCACCTGGGTACAACACGACGCTATATATAGGCTCGACACAAGGCCCCGTAACCAGGTGTTACGCGAAGGTTCCGCGGGTCGCGAAGCGTCCCGAACAGATCCTTACCGAATTTGGTAGAAGGCAATTCGGTGGCAACCGAAAAGCCAGAATTCGGTGCACGCAACCTAGCTCGGTGCTATAACTATAATAAAATATAGGAAAGCACCTAGCCTAGGAAATCAAGCAATTCATGCATGCATATAATTATCCTATGCTAGAAATAGCATGATAAAGTAAAGGCAAGCAAGCATAGCTGGCATAAGCCGTCGTACTCTCACACGTCCCCCCCTCAAAGCTGGGTGGCGTGAGATACACCCTGCTTGACAAGATAGTCCTTGAGAGCACGGCGTGCGTTGCCCATATCAGCTTCTGCAACCCAACTGTCCTCAGTGGGGTCGTATCCCTTCCAGCGTATCAGGAACTCGAGGGTCTTGCCACCGCGGCGCCGATGGGTGAGAACGCGCTCGATCTCGTACTCGGGTTCATCCTGTATGAGAACAGGTGGTGGTGGCGGTAGTTGCCGTCCCTGGAACTGTTGGTTGGGGTCCTTGTAGGGCTTCAGTAGCTGGACATGGAAATTGTTGTGAAGCTTCCATGTATCTGGTAAGCGCAAGCGGAATGTAACTGGTGTCACCTGTGCCTCAACGAGAAAAGGACCACAGAAGCGAGGCCGGAGTTTGGATGGGAGGTGAGACAGGTTCAAGTTGCGCGTGTCAAGAAGCACCTGACCTCCGACTGCTACTGAGTGATCACGTCGCTGACGATCGGCATACTGCTTCTGGGAGGTCTGCATCGTGGTGAGACGTCGCTGAGTCTTCTCCCATAGCTGTTGCATGGTGGTGACGAAGTCATGTGCGGCTTGGACGTGTGCCGGTGTAGTTGGCTGCTGTGGTGTGAGTGGTTCCCGTCCGTAACACAGGAAGAAAGGAGTTTTCCCTGTGGCCGCATGTGATGCGTTGTTGTAAGCGAACTCTAGGGTTGGTAACTGTGTGTCCCAGTGGCTGACGTCGTCCTTGCAAGCTGTTCGCAGTAACTGTTCAACCACTTGATTGAGTCGCTCTGTCTGTCCGTCAGTCTGGGGGTGGTATGCTGAAGACATTGCAAGCTTTGTCCCCAACAGTCCCATGAGCTCCTTCCAGAACTTACTCGTGAATTTGGGGTCTCTGTCTGAGATGAGTGTAGCGGGGATGCCGTGGATGGTGATGATGCGGTCGAAGAAGAGTCGAGCAGTTGCTTCAGCTGTAGCTGTGGCGTTGGTCGGTATGAAGTGACCCATTTTGGAGAACTTATCGATCACCACGAGGATGGAATCATGTCCCCGTGAGGTCGAAGGAAGTCCTGTGATGAAGTCGAGGCTAACGACCTGCCATGGCTGCTCCGGTACGGGTAGAGGCTGAAGTAACCCTGCTTTTTTCTGCTTGCTACTCTTCATCCGCTGTCACGTGTCGCAAGAGGTGACGAACTGCTGCACGTCTGCTGCCATCCCGGGCCAGTAGTAATACTTCGCTATCCCTGCTAACGTCTTGTTGCTCCCGAAATGTCCCGCGTATGGTACGTCGTGAAACTCCTCCAATAGGATCTGCCGTAGCGGGGCGTAATTCGGTACCCAAATCTTTCCTGAACCCTTCCTTACAGCTAAGTCCTTCTTCCACTGTAATAGCTTCTTACTGAGGCAGGCGATGGGCTGCAAACCGCGTCCGTGATCCTGCATCAGTACTGCTCCGACTGCTTGGTCACTAGCGTCTGCTTCCACCACGTAGTCCTTGTCTGGATCCGGCAAGATGAGTACTAGCGCTGTAGTCAGTGCTGTCTGTAGCTGCTCCATGGCTTGCTGATGAAGGGTATCCCATTTGTAGGGCGTATCCTTTTTCAGTAGGTCGGTCAGTGGCGCTGCTATCTTAGCATACTGCGGCACGAACCTGTTATAGTAGTTGGCGAAGCCTAGGAACTGCTGTAACTCCTTCACGTTCTCTGGTACTTTCCACTTCTTGACGGCTTCGATCTTCCGTGGGTCCACGTGTACGCCCTCGGCACTCACCATGTGCCCGAGAAACTGCACCTTCTTCAGGGCGAAGTCGCTCTTTGATAGCTTCACGTAGAACTTGTTTTTCCGCAGGATCTCGAACACCTTCCGCAGATGCTCCACGTGCTCCTTCATGTTCTTGGAGTAGATGAGAATGTCGTCCAGGTACACCACCACGCATTCGTCCAGCAGGGGTCGTAAGATGTGATTCATCTCCGCCTGAAACGTTGCTGGTGCGTTGTAGAGTCCGAACGGCATCACCAAGTATTCGTAGGAGCCGTATCTAGTACGGAACGCTGTCTTGTGGACGGAGTTGTCTGCCATCTTGATCTGCCAGTAGCCCGATCGTAGGTCCAGTTTCGAAAATACTGTTGCTCCACGCAGTTGATCGAGTAGGTCGTCTATGCGCGGTATGGGATATTTGTTTTTGACTGTCTGTTTGTTCAGTGCGCGGTAGTCGATGCACATCCGTAGACTGCCGTCTGGTTTTGGACTGGTGCGCCGTAGGGAGAGGTGGATGGGCGGATCAGTTGTCTGTCCAGTAGATACTCTATCTGTTTTTTCATGTCTGTCAGTTCAGTCGGACTCAGTCGGTATGGTGCACGTGAGACGGGTTTCGCACCTGGTTCCTCCACGATCTCGTGCTCGTGGGTGCGTGCTGGAGATACGCCTGTGGGTAGGTCGTCGGACATTATATCCTTGTACTGCTCCAAGACCTCCTCCTCTGCTGCTGCTATAACCAGTGCTAAGTAACCCGTTTTACTCTCGTTCACTGTCCGTTCGAACCGTGCCAGTGTCGTTTCAGGAACGCTCCCTGTATCCGTCAAGCTTCGCAGCTCCACTCGTTTCCCATTGTTGTAGATGCACGTTTTCCGGTTGACCCAGTCGATCTTGGGGTTGAACCGCTTCAGAAAATCTTGCCCCAAGATGAAATCTAATCCCTTGATGTTCGTGATCGGCAACGTCGGCTTCCACCTCAACGCCCCTATCTGCAGCTGCACTGTTGACTTTGCGTGGATGGGAAGCTTCGTACCGTCCACCATCGTTGCTGTAAACTGGGTTTCTTCTTAGGATTCTCCAATTTTCTCCAACGTCCCGCGGTCGCACACCGAGTGGGACGCACCACTGTCCACCAGGGCCTGGAGGCGACGCCCGTTGCAGATCACCTCGAGTACTAGTGGTTGCTGCTGCTCCGAGTATCCGTAGATGGTATCGCTTATAGGATCGTAGGGTACGTCGAATATGTTATCCCTAGGTCCTGTGCTCAAAGATGCAGCTTCAGTATCAGTTTTCAACTGAGAAAGGTTAGAAGGATTTATCCGAGGCCGATTCGGCTTCTCTTGGGCCTGGAACCTTCCACTAAGCCTTTGCAGCTGTGTAGGCTTCATCTGTGGGGAACAGGGAGCCTTTAAACAGTGCTGCTGGGAGAGAATATTAACTCCTCGGAACGCTCGACCCGTATTAGCGCTCTGGAGTAGGGTCTGTGAAGCAAGGAAAACAGGAATGAAATGACTAAGGAAAGATTGGGTACAAATACAACCCTAGAAACCCTGTACCCCATATGTGCTACCCCACTATAGCCTACAGCAAATATGTCATATAAATCTGACACACCCCCATAGGCAAAGTGGGGGAGAACAAGGGGTCACAAGACCAGTCAAGTAAAGCAAAGCAGAGCAAGCTCAGGGTGGATCACAAAGTCACCACACAGTCCGAGCACAAGAGCAGGGCCAGAGGCCAGTTCACATGCAGGAGTACAGACATA